AAAGGTAAAGTTATGGTTATTGTAACATATCTGGCTTTGTTTTCTATTTTGGCTTTGCTTCCTGTTTCTACTATCCTGTTTTCATTTGTGCCTTAACCACATTTTTATGCTTTGTATATGAACAGAAATTGTGAGACAAAATGAGCAACGTTGTGAACAAGAAATAGAAGATATCAAGAATGGTGTCAGGGCTGGAAATATCACACCAGATACTTCACTTATTAGATTCTCAGATGAAGCACTAGATGAGCAAAAGCATAGCATCAGGATTGCAGATGAAAAAGTTGCCTTGGCTGTTCAAGCTTACGATTTGGTCTGTTGATTCTGCTTGTGACTTCAATATTTAACTTATGGACTTATATCTTTGATGTTATTCTCAGTAAATGTGATTTACAATGCTTGTTAATGTATGATATTTGGCTCCTATTGTTTTTTGTTCTGTTGTTGCCAAATCTTTAGTTTGCAATTGCCATCCCTTTTCTCCTGGACAGTGCTTTACCTGACACTATCAGATTCTTTTAGCATTTGCCATCTAAGATGTGGGCAAGATTTTGTCTAGCTTTTGCAGAGGCACATTATATTTTAAGGTCAAAAGTTGTGGGAATTACGATGTTTTGTCTGTATGGTAGTATTTTATGGCTACTTAGGTTTCAGTATTTCATAATTGGACTGGTAATCAATAAGTCACGGTTAATTATATTTATTTCAGTGATGGGTTGGGTGTTAGTCTTACCTCATGAAAAGAATAAACAGACCAATAAGTCACAGTTAATTATATTTATTTCATTGTGGATTTTCCCTGGAAATTTAATTGATCCTTTTCCTTCCATAGTAAGGATGAATGATAGTGTCTGTGATAGCATTTATCTGTTGTTTTGGTTTTCCTTTCCCCTATGGTAAAACTTTTAGCACAAAGCATTTTAAGATTTCATTGCTGAATGACATTTAATAAATCTCATCATCGGAGAATTTTTCTTCATCATCAATGTTCTCCTTGTCCTACTTGCTTCTGTGCCTGGTGCCATAAAAAACGCAGTGAGCTATTTCAATTTAATTGCAAAATTTAAATATCTTAATTTTGGACCCAGGTCTATATTATGTGGAATTGTGGATTGGGATCAATCTCCTTTGCACGGTTATCATTCAATACTCTGACTGTTTGTGATATAATCATGATTCAGGTAGATACACACATACAACAGCTTGATCAACATTTGAAAAGATTTGATGAAGAGCTCCGGCATGGTGTGTTACTAATTTTCATTTTTTACTAATCTTCAAATACATATTTTATCAGTTCTGAAATATGTCCACCTTGGTTAGATTTTGAACTTGGAATATATGTGTATGGTTTTGGACAGAAAGAGAGAATGCTGCTGCTGCTGTTTTGCCTGCTACAAGTCTTGATGGCAGTGCGAAATCTGGAAGAAGTAGTGAAGGTGGAAGAGGAGGGCGTAAAAAGTATCTACTCATCTTAGATATCCTTATATTTGGTTTCCTTATGGATTGCTTAAACTTGTTTTAGTTAGCTGTTATTGTGCTGTTGATTCTTGCTTTCGTCTTCCTGAGGAAGTTATTTTCTCTATTACTTGTGCAAGTTGTTTGAGATCACCCCAAAATTGAACTGACCTGAAGTGGATCAAGTGATTTTGTCTAGTTCTATATGGGACCATAGTTTATCACAGTTCCAAAATTTTGTGATCCAGTTGGTCTGGGTCAAAATTGGTTCTGAGCTATGAGTGATCTAAACCACACCATGTGACACAAACAATATATTCTCTTGTTTTTCTCCCCACAGCAGAAAGCTTGGCTTGAAAAATAAAGTCCTTATTCATGCACACTGGACATGCTTCTCTGGTATACCTGTGACAAATTTCAAACCATGACATTTGCTTGAACCCTCCTATGGTGCAGAACACGGCTGGCAACAGCAA